AAACTGCTCTTTTTTTCAAGGACAGCTGTGCCAGAGCTTGTGACTGACCCAAGGTCACACCAGCAGCTGCATGTGGAGGAGTGGGGAATCAAACCCGGCTCTCCCAGATTAGAGTCTGCACACTTAACCACTACACCGAACTGGCTTAAACTGCAATCCCACACACAAAATAATCCACCTTCAATCCACTTTCCAACTGGATTCTGCCAGTTCACACAGTAAAAAAAATCCAGTTGGAAAGTTCACTGAAAGTGGATTGAAAGTGGATTATTTAGTATGTGTGATCGCAGCCTTAGAAACTAATGTGGATAAAGTAGGTGGTTCTACCAACAAATCAGAAGACCTTCTTGCAACTGACACCTGTCTTTTCCTTCCTCTCAGGTTGTATGTAATTCTACGTATCCCATTAAAGATGGATCTTTCCTTGGTATAGACCATATGCTGCAGGCTACTCAAGGGAAGCTGGGGCGACGTGAGCTTCCACACCCAAGCTGCACTAATCTACAGTAAATCTTGCCAAATCAATACAAAAATCTCAGAAGTATATCATTTTTAAAGAGGGAAGAAAACCCCCACAAGAGATGTGGCCATTAAAGGCAGAACCCCTTTTATACCTGTGACTCGTGGCAAAGGCAATTAAAAACATTCCGCCAATAAATCAAGGCATTGTCCCCTTTAAGGCTTTTAACTTTTGTCAAAGTTCAAGCTTGGCATTCCCCAAAAAATGTGCCAGGACTTTCACAATGTATTTTTATAGACTCATAAATAAATATGACAATTCCTCCACGCTGTATTTCTTTCAGGTTTTGATGACAACGTATTATGGCATTCACTCATTCGGTGCACGGGGGAAAAACTCTAATGCACTTAAAATCGGATTTCAAACCAAATGTTTTATGGGGAAATATTCTATTGATCATCCATTTAAAGGTAGCATGAAGGTGATTCATAACCAGCTGGTTTAAAGAGAGAGAAAAAAGGGAAGATCTTACAAGGGTAATCAGAAGGCATTTTGTGGAAGGCTGGTTTTAGAAAATTCGAAGCAGCAGATGTCTGGGTGTCTTTAGCAGTTCAGCAAACTGGCTCTGCTGCCCTTCGTGTCTGTTTTTTCAAACTGCAGGCTGGATTTGTATCCTTCAGTAGCGATGGCAATTATATACAGGCCAATTGGCCTGACTCGTTGGATATGTAGGGTTGCCAACCTGCAGCTGGTAGCTGGAGAATTAGATAGACATATGGAGCAGAGGTCCATCAGTGGCTAATAGCCACAAGGTATAGATGGGAACTCTGTCTGGGGCAAGTGATGCTCTGTATTCTTGGTGCTTGGGGGGGGGGCAAATCTGGGAGGGCTTCTAGTGCCCTGGCCCCACTGCTGGACCTCCTGATGGCACCTGGTATTTTTGACCACTGTGTGACATAGAGTGTTGGACTAGGTGAATCACTGGCCTGATCCAACATTGGCTTCTCTTATGTTCTTATGAGCCAGTTTGGTGTAGTGGTTAAGTGTGCAGACTCTAATCTGGGAGAACCGGGTTTGATTCCCCACTCCTCCACTTGCACCTGCTGATGTCACCTTGGGTCAGTCACAAGCTTTGGCACAGCTGTCCTTGAAAAAGAGCAGTTTGTGTCATTCTCTCAGCCCCACCCACCTCACAGGGTGTCTGTTGTGGGGAGGGGGAGGGAAAGGAGTTTGTCAGCCGCTCTGAGACTCCGAGTGAAGGGCAGGGTATAAATCCAATCTCCTC